CTGCTCCAATCTAAATTGTTCACTTTAAGCTATGTCCAGTTTACCATACCAGTGGCATGTTGCCTATGTATTTATGGTTTTCATTGTATCCTTGCCATTTATTTTTGAATTTAGAAGTTTTTGAATTTGTTTGAAATATTCTGAACTTTTCCTAGCTTCTCTAGTATAATTGAACTTACCAGTAAATAAGCTACTATCAGCATAATCCCTAGTATCATAAAAGAAACAAGCTCTCTCACAACAACAAGTTAATGGTACATGAGGAAAGGAACCGTTCTGATCATCATAATTACAGCTACTTATGTGCCTTTTCTCCTTGAAATGCAGCATCTTCTACTGTCCTCCAGCTGTACTGGACTTCCAGAATTTACTGCAAGTGTAAATTTTAGTATTCTTCTGGCCAGACTGGCTAAGACTTCTGGAAGTTGAAACTTAAAAAATTGAGAGGAAACCAGGATGGGTAATATTACTCTAATATTTACTAAATGGAATAGTGTGCAATATAATATTTAATCACTCTACTTTTCTTTATTGGTTACTGTGGATACAGAAAAAAAAGTATGGTATTATATAATTTTACTTTCCTAAACCACAGAGGAAAGAATCATTTAAAGATATATTTTTATTTATCAGATCGGGTTACTGCTGTAATTTGCAAGGATTCTTGGCAGTTAGCCAGGATAACAAGGATACATAATTCAAACATCCACAGTACACAAATTAAAACATCCACGGTATGTAATGATAATTGAAGTTAATATTAAAAATCAGTTAAATAAAATCAGTTAAATAAGCTGCTATCCTTCAAAGACCAATCATAAGATAAATAGTGTCAACTCAATGAACCATCTATAGCAGAGGTCCCCAACCTTTTGGCACAAGGGACCGGTTCCGTGGAGAGAGGTTTTTCCGTGGACCGAAGGGGGCGTGGTTTTGTGTGCTGCCTGCATAGCGCGGATGGGGCTTTCCTTGTTAGTGCGGGCTGGTTGCTAGCATGCCGCGGCCCAGTACTGATCCATGGCCCGGGAGTTGGGGACCCCTGATCTATAATTCTCCAGAACAGCTCCATCATCACCAGCTCCTGGAAAGCAATCAACACTGGGTTAGCTTTAGCTTGTCAACAAAGACTGTTCCATAACTTCAGAGTCATTATGGAGAAGCAATGCCTCCTGGCCTTAGCCCCCTTCACTTCACAAAAGTGGGGAACCACCAATACTTTTTCTGGATATGAACATTGACAAATCTGCTAGAAAAAATGGAACAGGTTTAGATGTTTATAGGTTAAATATGTTCCAGTGTTACTGACTGCCAACTAATAATCAGGTCACTGCATTATACATTAATTGCACTTTCCAAGTGGTTCTCAAAGGCAGCCCCAGGTAGAGCACATTACAGTACTCCAAGTAAGTAGTGAAGAATGTGCAAGTTACTATTGCAAAGTAATTTAGTCCATTCAAATTGCTGACACTGGCTTTAAATAGTCTAGAATCACGTTTGCTTCAAGGTATCTACTAAGCCTTTGAATTATATTATCTCTGTTATTCACATCCAACGAAGTGCAGAAGTTTTGTTCTTCTGTTGGCACCAAAGCAACGAAATAATCAAATGGAATAATTTTATCATTTAAATAATACAGAACTGCTGCTAATTTTTATCTTTATCTGCATAAAATGTGTTAACAAGCAGAAAGCTTAATAGTCAGGTCACAATGACAACAGACAAGGAGAATCTGAACACATGAGAATTAGTTTAGTGGGCCTTAGGGCACTACATCTGGGTTCACAGTTAATCACTGCTATTTTTCCATAAGCAAAATTTTGTTTTAAATTAATAAAGAAATTCCAAAAGATACATTAGGTCTATATTAACACATTTGTCATTGATCCGAATGTATTCAAAAAACCAGAAAAGTTATTTTAAGATTTGTATATGCTTGGATCATGTTCATTAACAAGTTCATTCTGATATCTTCTCTCCTGGTGAGACTGACTTCTTCACTTCTTCACATTCTCCAATTCCAATTTTGTTATATTTTAATTGTTTCTTGCTTTGTTTAGTTGAGGACTTTTAATTTTCTCTGGATTTAACTGCAAAATCAATATAATTTTGTAAAGTGTTTTGGAGTCTCCTTTTCTGGCTTAAGAGTTTGTACAATTTTGTAGATCTATAACTAAACAAGTAAGACGCTGGGCTAGTATCTTCTTGCTTAGAAGTGTTTTTCTGCTTTGCATTTTGCAATCATGAAATAAATTATTTATCCTAATGTTTAGGATAAACATTGAGCAATACTAATGGGGAAGTTTCAGTATCAGTATTGACAAATGCACAAAATAAATATCCAAAGTATTTAGCTACTGAAAACAATTAATTAGATTAAGCAGTTTGGTTTCTATAACACTTAAGAGCCAAAATATGAAATTGCTTAACGGAAAAAAAAATCCCTGATATTGCCTTATGCATCTTATTTATCAGTAGTAGCAATTGTAATAGCAATTTTTGTTTTAATATCTGCAACATGTGGCACACTAGAAAAGCTTCTGATAGTGTCAAGCAAATTGATATGAGAAAAGGCATTCTTTTAGTAATCTTGATCCTAAGTTTGCTAATAACAAAGCACTAATTTGGCTAAAGAATATCTGTCTGGTATTTCTAAGACGTTTCTGTCCTATACTTATGCTGGCTTAAATCGTCTGCCTTCTTGGCTGTTATGCATTGACTTTGTTAATTGAATCAAGTGTTTTGGGAAAATCATCCCATTTAGGTACTTCCATAAAATTTATATAATCAAAGGCTTTATTCAGTATTTAAATTTATGTTTATGTGCATACATAAATATACATTAAATTAAACTGAAGCTAAAGCACCAAAATGTGCATAGATATAGGTGCAACAAGCAGCTTTACAATAAAAATGTCTTCCCTGCTGCCCTGTTGGTCTCTAATTTTGTGTACCTTTATTGAAAATGTTAAGTGAACTTCTGATAAATAATGGCTCAACTACTTCTTTTTCTTGTGCCATATCCGTTATCGGACGTTGGCGATCATGTTGGCGATCCGGTTTTTATCAGCATTTTTGACAGTGGGAGTTATTCAAAAACAAATGAAGTCAGAATGATGACCTTTTTATACTACCCATCCTCCAAGAGTTGAAAGTAGAGTCCATAGGAGGAGTTTCCCTTCATTTTATTATCAAATCCTGAAAAATTTTGAAAAAAAAAACAGGAGGCTAAGTCAAATGACTGAAACAATTCAGTAATGTTTCCTAAAGCGTGGTCTTAGTGGTAGCAGCAGCAAATGCATCAATTATTTTCTAAAAAATAATAATGATAAACATCAACAAAAGTGCCAGTTGATATAGTGGTGAAGACACCAGGCTAGAAACCTGGAAATCACATGAATGTGTTGTAGTCCCGTCCTAGGCATAAAGCCAGCTAAATAAGCTTGAGCCAGACATCTTATTTCAGTCTGGGAAGAAGGCAAGGTTAAATGTTTTCCAGCAACACTCCTTGAGAAGAATTCTTTGCGTGTTATATCGTGACCACATCACTAATGAAGTACTACAAAGATCAGATTTAGAACACCTATCAAGAACTGTGAATGAAGATCGAATGCAGCTTGTTGGTCGTATCTTACATATGCCTAAAGACTGGCATCCAAATATACTTCCTAGAACAGTGATGGCGAACCTATGGCACGCATGCCAGAGACGGTGCTCAGAGCCCTGTCTGTGGGCACACCTGCTGCTGCCACCAACTCGTGCAGGTCCATTAGGCCACCGCTGGCGCCCGGAGTAGCAGCCCCACCCAGCACAAAGGAGGTGAAGCAGCTGGCTAGCAAGCTCAAGTAGAAGTGGTAGAGCACACCCCCATGCGCTCGCTGGCCTCTGTGTGCAGGGGCTGCAGCTGCCCCTGCCTCACCTTGCCCCGCAGCAATGGCACCCCCGCCCTACCCCCTGCCTCACCCTGCAGGACGAGCCTCCTGCCCACCGCCCCACCAGAGACCCCCTGGATCTCCCCCAATCCCGCCCAGCCCCCACAGACGTCCTCCCATGAGCAATATCAAGGTGGCCATGTCCACCCCGGCCACGCCCACTCAGTCTGCCGTCACCACCGCAGTCACTCCCACCCAGTGGGCCACATCCCCTGCCCCCCCCAGGGCACCACAATGCTGATGCGGCCCTGGCACTTTGCGATAAATAATTGGGTTTTGGGTTGCGGTTTGGGCACTTGGTCTCTAAAAGGTTCGCCATCACTGTCCTAGAAGAAAAGAGAATACAAGGCCAGCTTTGTAAAGCTTGGCACCAAACACTTAAGGAAGATCTTAAGATTATTGATATCTTTTAGGATGATGCCAAAACACTTGATACCCAATGTGCTAGGAGAAGGAAGGAGGAGGAGGAGGAGAAAGAGAAGGAAGAAAGGAAGGAAGGAGGAGGGGAAGAAGAAGAAGAAGAAGAAGAAGAAGAAGAAGAAGAAGAAGAAGAAGAAGAAGAAGAAGAAGAAGAAGAAGAAGAAGAAGAAGAAGAAACTATAAAACTGCAGGTACTTGTGCCACCAGTCTACACTGACGCAAGGGCACAAAAAAATTAAAAACAATAAATATAACCTATACAAACAAAAGCTCCATAATTTTTAAGTTTAATAAACAGTGTTGTACAGGAATATTATATTTAGAATACTATAGTACTAGACAATACGTGTTCTACAATCCACACTTTCTTGCCTCCTCTTCTTGTCTTCCGCCTCTTTATGCCTCATTTTTAAAGAGAGTTCGTTTCTATGGACGGGAAAAAAAAAAAACAAAGCTGTGTTTTGTTTGTTTTTTTGTTAAATGAAACTGCAAAATAAGCCTACGCGCTCACCCACCCGCCTGTGCAAAACCCTCGGCCACGCCCGGCCTCCTGCACCCTCCTCGCCCCTGCCACTCTACGCCCTCGGCTCCTTCCCCTTCCCTGCAGCCTCCGCGGCGCGGCGGAAGCGGCTTCCTCCTGGAGTCAGGGATCCGAGCGAGCCGCTGCCGGGTTAGAGGAGGCGCGGAAGGCGGAGACTGGCCCGGAAAGGGCGAAGATGGCGGAGAAAGAGTGAGTCGAGCTCGGCGCTTCGCGGATGGGCTGCTGGCGCGGATGGGCTGCGGATGGGAAAAGGGAAGGAGAGGCAGCGAAAGGCGCGTAGGGGAAAGAAAGGGCGCGGCAGAAGTCGGGGAAGCGCCCGGCAGCCCCGGTGTCACTCGGGGAGGTAGCAGTTGGGATGGGTAGAAGGGTCGGCTTGCCCTGGTTCTCGGGAGGGGACGCCGGAGTAGGAGGAGGCCCGGGAATGCTAAGCCCGCTTGGGCAGACAGGCCGGCGTCATCCCGGAGAGTGAAATTACTGCTTGGCCTCACCAAAGTTGTTGGCAGCGCCGTTCGGAACTGGTTTTCCAAGGAGATTCAGGCGAGGTTTTTGCCCTCGGATCCCTTCTCGGTGCCTGATCGCTGGAAGTTACGGAGGGGAGGGCTCAAACGCCGTTTGTCTTCCTGATTTTTATTTTATTTTCATTCTTCGGCGCCTTTCCAGACGGAAGCCCCTTACTTGAAAGAAGGCAAGGACCATGATCTTAATTGCCTTTTCCCACTTGGATCTCACCAAGGCACGCATCTGCCTGATTTCTTTGGGTTAGGGTCCCCCAAATTGGGGGGGGGACTTTATTTCAGGAATGCAGTACAGGTAGTCCTCGAGTTACAACCACAATTGAGCCCAACATTGATGTTGCCAAGCGAAACCTTTGTTAAGTGAGTCTTGCCCCCATTTTACGACTTTTCTTGCCACAATTGTTAAGTGGTGGTTAAGTGAATTTGGTTTCCCTATTGACTTTGCTTGTCAGAAGCTTATCACGTAACCCCAGGACACTACAACCATCATAAATCACTTGCCAAGCATCTAGATTTTGATCATGTGACCATGGGGATGCTGCAGTAGTCAGAAGTGTGAAAAATAGTCATGTCACTTTTTTCAGTGTGTTGTAACTTTGAATGGTCACTAAAAGAACAGTTGTAAGTTAAGGACTACCTGTAGTCTAAGTTGCTCTTCGCTATACTGGTCCTTGTCTTTTTCTCCTTACTCCAAAATAATCAGTAAACACCTTTGGGGTGTATGAAATCTGTTAGGTTTTGTCACCTATTCTCTTGGAGACAAATCAATTGACTGCACTGATTTGAAAGGGTGCATGGAAGAAGGAAAGAGCTTAGGAATAGGAATAGCCATTTCTATACCTGTATAATTTTCTACCCGCTCATGGATAGGTGGAGAAAAAAACTGGTAAATGTTAGGATCAGTCTCTGTTAAACCTTAGGGTTGACTTATGTTCCCTGTAACAAGATAGAATGATTTCTTGTGTTTGTATTTCACTGTTAATCTGACGAGTTGTAATTGCTTTACAAAACCTTATAAATTGCTTCAGGGTCCTGGAGAGTTGGGATAGGACTGCAAGGGAAAGGAAAGAGGCAGCTATCAGGATTTCATTTGTGATTTAGAATAGAATAGAATTGGAAGGGACCTTGGAGGCCTTCTAGTCCAGCCCCCTGCTCAAGCAGGAGAACCTATACCATCCCAGACAAGTGACTGTCTAGTCTCTTCTTAAAAATCTCCAGTGTTGGAGCACCCATGATTTCTGAAGGCAAGCTGTTCCACTGGTTAATTGACCTCCCTGTTAGGAAGTTTCTCCTTAATTCCAGGTTGCTTCTCTCTTTGGTCAGTTTCCAACCATTGTTTCTTGTCCTGCCCTCTGGTGCTTTGGAGAATAGTTTGATGCCCTCTTCTTTGTGGCAGCCCCTCAAATACCGGAATACTGCTATCATGTCACTCCTGTTTCTTCTTTTCTTTAGACTAGCCAAACCCAAGTCATGCAGCCGTTCTTCATATGTTTTAGTCTCCAGGCCTTTGATCATTTTAGTTGCTCTTCTCTGAACTTTTTCCAAGGTCTGAACATCTTTTTTGTAGTATGGTGACCAAAATTGGTTGCAATATTCCAGGTGTGGTCTTACTAGAGTTTTATAAAGCGGTACTAATACTTCACGCAATCTTGATTCTATGCCTCTATTTATACAACCCAGGATTGTATTAGCTTTTTTGGCTGCTGCGGCACACTGCAGGCTCATGGTCAAGTGATCATCCACTAGGACTCCAAGATCCACCTCACAGTTGCTCTTTTTGAGCCAGGTCTCGCCTAATCTGTACTTAAACCTTTGATTTTTCCTGCCTAAATGTAAAACTTTGCTTTTCTCCACATTAAAACTCATTTTGTTGGATAGGGCCCATTGTTCGAGTTTGTCAAGATCTTTTTGGATCCTGAGCTTATCTTCTGGGGTGTTGGCTATTCCTGCCAGTTTAGTGTCATCTGCAAATTTGATGAGTTCCTCTTCTATTCCCTCATCTAAGTCATTAATTTATTTATTTATTATTTATTGTTTATATTTATATCCCGCCCTTCTCCTTGCGGACTCAGGGCGGCTAACAACCAGATAAAAATGCAAATCCCAAAACTACAGATTAAAACATAATTAAAAACAAATATTAATAATTGGTCTAATTTATTTAAAATTACTTTAAAACCCCCATTAAAAACTTTCCCCTAGGCCAGTCCTGCAAGCTGGAATAGCCATGTCTTAAGGGCGCGGCGGAAGGAAGGGAGATCAGGGATCACCCTGATCTCTGGGGGTACTGAGTACTGGGCCTAAGACGGAGCCTTGTGGTACCCCACTGCTTACTACTCTCCATGTGGATGTGATGCCATTGATACTGGACTGCTTCCATGTTGACCTACGTGCTAGAAGGGTAGAAACTAGAAGGCTGCTTTTTGCATTATAGTTTTTGCTTTTTTTAATTGTTCAGAAGTTTTGTTTGTTTCTAAAATTATTTTTATTGGTTTTTGAAGTAAAAAAAAATACTTTCCAAAATGAGTTTTTTCCTACCCTATATTTTTTTTAAAGGGACTTTTTTTCCATACATACTAGGATTCTGCCAGAAATCTCAGATGGACTGTGTTTCTTTACCCAGGGACTTCACTTCAATGGAAATGTCTTCTGGGCATGTGCAGACATGAATAAAAAGTCTGTCAAAACCTTTAAAATAGCTTTACTGCAGGGCTTAAGCATGGTAGTGCTTCATTTTATAGAAATGTCTGATGCCTTGTCAAAGACATAAAACAAAATGACTCTTTAAGCTTTGTTCATTGTGCTTCAGATATCATCTTTCAACTGTAACCATCTAAAGTTTTATCACCAATTATTTGGCCTTTTTATTTAACGGATAAAATGATTGAGAAACAAAAAACTAACTTTTCGACTAGTAGCACTTTAAAAACATGCACTATTAAATACCCTGTAGTATTAGAACTACAGCCAGATACGTAGTTGAAGCTGCCTTAGGATAAATTATCTGTATTTCCTAGACCTGAGGTGGATTTTGCACTGGCATTCTATTTTGTCATATTATGAACATGATAATTTAATGACTCGACTGTGGACGGTTATATAATAGGTCTGCTTTGCCTTCTCCTTTTACAGATAGATCTTACTTACAAATAGTCCTCACTTATCGACCACTCATTCAGTAACCATTCAAAATTACAACAGTGCTAAAAAAAATAACTTTAGGCCATTTTTCGACTATTTATGACCTTCAAAGCACACCCTCAGTCACGTGATTGCCATTGTCACTATGCATGCCCCTGTGCCTGATCTGTGATTTTCTTCGCCCCCTTGTAGAAAAGAGAGATTGGCGAGGAAGGGGTTGCAAGAAAGTGAGCTGTTTGCTCTTCTACACATTGAAAGCAGCAGCCTGAGTTATATAATATAGAATGCAAAACTGAATCAGTAACTTCATGCCTAATAACAGTGAAATAAAACATTATGGTTTAGTGTCATGTATGAATTTAGCCAAGGATATCTGTCATATCTATTCACCTGGGGTTTTGTTTTTGTGCTAAGAAATTAGGTTTTTTTTACCATTTGTGATATGATTGCAACTCATGCTACATTTGAGCATGTAATGTTCAGCATTGCAAAGTAAACCTTTATTCTAAACCATTTAAACTTTTTTAGTCCATTCGTTACATAAATATTTTCACAAGAGAGCTTTAAGTAATTCTATCAGCACAGTAGAATTCTTCTTTATCTTTGTGCAGTCAGCCAAACTTTGTGCAACATTAGTGCATTGCATAAGAATAGCAAATTAATGCTTATATGTATTAGCTAATAAACTTTTGGCAGTGTCAGAAATATCAAAATGGCATCTAATACATTTGAATAACTCCGTTGTGTCCTAATAATCAGCTAGGATAATTCTTTATATGGAAGCGAATCACGGTTGAATTTATCACATGGTGAACACCTGGAATTTGAAGTCTAGTACTTTGTTTTGTTTTTATATGAATTATTTTATAAGCCCATAACTACTGGTATTGCAAGCTGATTACAAAAGGAGTACCTATTATAATACAAGCAAAAAAATAATGTTACACCCAGATTTGAAGGTTGCCTGTGCCCACATTGGATCTTCAAGTTCAGTTAATTTTACAACCCATGTTTTTTTTTAAGTAAAGATGTAATCAGATGTACAAATGCAACAATTCTGAATAAGGATATTAACATAATAATTACAACACAGAAAGTATATAAAACCAGTTCATATAAAGGGTACCTGCTTCTGCATGTGAAAATTGAAAGTGACAATACCTGTTTTTAGCAAGCAGAACATTTCCAAATATGCAACTAAATTGAACTAATGGTTAGTAACTAGGGGAATTTTGCAGATCAAGATGCTTTCTGTTTGAAATGCTAAAAGTGGTAGGAATGGAGTCAGTCAGCACAAGTGACTGGGATGGTCTCTTGATGACAATTTATTTAGGTTTGTGAAGGTCAGATTCCAGCCTACATAAAGCATTGTCTGTTTTCTCAACAATCTATTTTTAGTTACCTCAGTAATTCCTTAGGAGTATTAACTTCTGTGTCAATTGTTAGATGGGCCGTAGTGATCATATTTCACATTTTCTTTTGTATTCCACTATCTGGAAGGAGCACATTAGTAATTTAAATGTTAACTGAGAA